CAAAGTTTATAAACAACATAGACATTATTTCTGACTCAACCTAATAGATTATGGTAAGTATTCATACAATAAGAAAAATGAATGTTGCATTTAATAACTTTTTTCATATGTGCTGTACTATCATCTAAGTACACCACAACAAAGACACAACCTGGTAAAATTTGTTAATGGCATCTCCTTTTAGGGCATAAGGTGATCATGATTCTCCACAGTTTCTCTTTCATTTATTATCTTGGAATTTCCATATTTTGCAAAATATAATCTAGTAATTCCCCATCATATTCTCTCTGCTTTTGAATTCAAAGAAGTTCAGATAGATTGCCACTCAAGGCTAGACAGCCTGGACTACCTTGTTGTTTAACCTGTAAGCAATATCACATACAAAATATGAAGAAAATACAATTATTACTGAAGGATTTATGTCACAATATTTGAAAAATACAAGACAGGTAACAATATGCCACAAACAAAAGACAGTAATCTATTGTGTATTCTTTTTGTTCAGTTACCTAAAATTGCCTAAGTTCTTTTTGGTAAGTTACAACAGAAATTTTACTTCATTCTTTTTTTGCCAAACTTCTCTAATTCTGACATGTTCCTGAGATTTCTTTTCTTAAAATTCATTTTTGATTCACTACAAAAGTTTTCAGTAATATTTTGATCAGACAATAGAAACAAAAAGGACACTTCTATTTCAAATCAGAAAAAGACAGGTGAAATTTCTTGGACATGAAAAGAGGGTTTGGAGAACTTGACACTTGGCGGGCATATTGAAGGACAGGGGAAGGCAGCAGTCCACCTACCTGATGAGCTTGTATGACTGAATGGTGGAACAGGTTGGAGAGGTTTGGCAAAAGGATAAACTTTATTAAAAGTTACAAAGAATAGGAGGTTGTGTGGAGTTCAAAGCAACCTTCAGTGTCTGTACTAGAGGTACTTACATATAGGTGGGAGTGAAAAGAATAAAAACTCACCAAGAAAGAGGAGGAGTCTTTCAAATCTTGTGCTGCCTAAAATTATTGTCAGGGGGCAGTAATTTAATATCTCACCACCTGTGATTACTATCAGGGGGCTGTAATCCAACAATATATAATGATTTATATCAGACATACTAATACTTTTGTTTGTGTGTTTTTCAAATATTGTTACATAACTATAGAAATAATAAATAATTTCATATTTTGCATTCATTGGTCTGCATAAGGATGATTGACTTTAGTTGCAGCACAACTTGAACTTAGTACAGCATGTATGAAAAGAGTTATTGGTTAAAATATACGTGTACTTACTGCCTCACTGCAGATATATAGATTAAAGAAAAAAATGGTGAAGGTAATAAAAGATTTTAACGTGCTGTATAAGTTGACTTATACAAATATCTTGGTGACTGTCTAAAAGTGACATTTCCAGTAAGTCCTTATTTAGGAACTAAGTAAGTATTTACATTATTTACTATCAGACTGATGTCTTCATCATTGTTGTTATTATCACAACTTTCAATTATCTGTCAGTCATGTAAACTTTCAGTGAATTTTGAAATGAATATTTAATCTATGACAGACTTTTGTTCTCACTCCACTGTCCAAGTCTAGAGATATTTACAGCTTCCTTATTGTCCCACAGAAGTATATGCTAAAGAATTAAAGAATTGGTTTGGAAATCTGATGATATTGTAATAAGGAGTTCAGTGATTTGGACATGTAATACAATCACAGACAATGGAAACAGTAATAAATGAGCAGTCCTAAAAAAATAACATGATGAGATATCCCTGGACATAGTCAGCCAAATGAAAACAATTAACTTCAGGAGATTTAATAAAGCGTTCAATTGAAAATTCCCAGGTTACTTGGATCTACAGACACTGGAAGTGGTCTATAATGTAATAATAAAAACCAAAGTGAGAACATTAGTCAGTCCATAAATAAAGTAAATAATGATAACTCAGCATCCCAAAAATTCAGATAGAAATGTACCGAATATGTTGTTTAAAATTTGCTACATTTATGAAGAAAGAGTGCTCAATATTGACAATAGAGCAAATGTGAATATAAAAATTAACATTGATTGATTAAGGCATGAAATTGCTAGACACTATGCAGGGCAGATTTCTATATCCACACTAATATATATATATATATATATATATATATATATATATGTGTGTGTGTGTGATAGAAATTATTAGGGGAATTTGAATAATCATAATTAAGTACTTCATCAAGTCTTGAAGAACCCTCAACAGAATTCAGAAATCACTGGATGGCTGTTTTGTCCTATTTTGGCACTCATCAGCAGTGTGCATCCACTACCAAGAATCAAATTTGGACCGTCATGCAAACGTTATACCCACGGGACCAACAGGTCTCAGTGACAAAGAGGTAACTAACTAGACTTGATATAGTGCAGCTCTTCATGAATTCCATCGTGTAACTCATCCAAGTTTACTTAGCCAACGAATTGTGTCCCCATGAGTCACGTCTTCTATCCCCAAGCCCAAGCTGTTAGTTACCTCTCTGATGCTTTTGACCTCTCAGCCACAAAGAACTTACCGACCAAACAAAGCCCGAATAGTGCTTTAGAATACAGACTTTTTCCTGATGCTCAATGTATATATCTCTGCCCAGCTTCATATCCTAATGTAAACAAAGACAATTTGTAGGAATCAATTTTTCAATATGTCAGATTAATAAATGAAAAATCCATGCCTTTTATATATATAATATGAGCACTTGTCTCCTCACATATATCTTCCTGCAAATGGACTTTGCAACCTAACGATTGAAATTGCTCTCTCATCCCCAACACATACACATACATACATATATATATAAAGTTCCTCCAGAAAGAGGCACTGCTTGTGGAATTATTGCAAAAACAACAACAGTGCTTCTAACAAAGCCTTTATCAGATGATAATCTTCTTGTCAGTATCATTGCCACTAACTTCATTTGCACGAGGAGTACTTCAATATATTACCAAACTTTGTTGCTTGGCTGTCATAGTGTGAGAATGGCTGATCCATGCAAATACAATCTCTGCACAACCTTGGAGCCACTTAATTTTTTCTTTTCTTTTATTGATGATAATGCTTAGGTCAAGTTAGCAATAAAACCTTGGCATTTGACATTAAATGAAATATATTGATTGTCCAGACATTTCTTATTCACTCCTATTTCAGATCTTTGTACTTTTCCACCTTATGTTGATACATTCAATCAATATTTTCTTCAAAAGAAATTAATTCAGTGACATAAGCAAAAATAAAAGCTATAAAAGAAAAAAAAACAAACAAAAGAAAAATAGAGAATAAATAATAAAATAAAATCAATAAGCAAGAAATAAAAAAAATAAAAATATTTTAAATAAAAATAAAATGAACAAAAGCAATATAAAAGAAAAATGTTAATTCAGTAACCTAACCTTTTTTTAATTAAATAATCTGATAATAATATCAAGAGACATGACAGTGTGACTTCAGAAAGAAATGTGAGATGTTCTTCCATATCTAATGCTCCAGTTGTTGCAACAATGTACTTTTGTAAAACTTGAATTTTTCCTATTCTTTGTGAAATTTATTAACTTCAAGAAAAAAAGAAGGTATGTTTGTTGGTAAAAGGACGAGCCCAAAGTGCAAATTTGTAAACCAGTGATACCAAAATCAAACAAGTGTGGGAATTTAAATATCTGGGAAGTGTTTTAACAGAGGACAGAAAGTATGACACTAAAATCCAAAGACGTATTGGGATAGCCAAAGAAGAATTCCAAAAGCTAAGCAGAGTATTAAGAAATAGAAAAATTTCACAAGAAACAATGAAAAGAATGTTGAACTGCTATGTTATATCTGTCCTCTTCTATGGCACTGAGTGCTGGATGATCTCAAAGATAAAGGAGAAACTTGAAGCAACAGAAATTTTGTCCTACAGAAGGATACTGAGAATACCATGGGCAAAACATGTGATCAACAATGAAGTTTTGGAGACAATGAAAACAAAAAGGAAACTAATACTTAACTTCAAAAAAAGAAAGTTAAGGTTTCTGTGATACAATGAGGAAAGAAGGCTTGGAAAATTTGATACTCATGGAATAGATAAAGGGCTAGAGGGACAGAGAAAACAATGCCTAACATACTTGGTGAGCTTGAGTAAAAGAAATAACAGAAAGACAAAGCTTATCAAGAGCTCAAGAGGACAGGAAGTTTTGGAGAACCATGATTGCATAAGTCCTGAGGAGACCCTGCTCATAAAAAAGAAGTTTTACTTGCAATGTGCAGGTAGTGTAACTGTTATCAGTGCAGAAAGTAGAATTGGTGAGCTGGGTTCAAATTCTCACCTAATCTATTGCATTCACTTTCAAACTATTACTCTTGGAAAAGGCATGAGTCTATCTCTTCTCTATAAAACCATTGATTAAATAGCAGGACAGTAGATTTTAAGGGCAGAAGAACTACTTTGAATTCAAAACTGTGGGAAAGGTAACAAGAAACTACTCCACTATTTTTCCCAATAAGTTATGGCAATTCACAGAATAAAGAAAGGGAATCTGTAGAGAGCTATTATTACCTCCATCCTGAAGAGACATGGCATTTATACAATAAATGAATTTGTGTTGATAAAATTTTATTGGCAGCTTTATAACAACTTTTTATAACCACAGCATCTTGTTGTAAATCTAGATAAATATTCTCATGGCATTTCAAACACATTATTTGCTTCTAGACTATTGTCCTCATCTTTGTTGTTATTATCACAATGTTTCAGCTGTTTTTCCCTCTAGCCTTCATAGTAGTGTAACATTCAAGGAATTTCAATCTTTATTTAATCTACAGGGGTAGATTTTTCTTTGTTTTGCTGGTGATGTCTCGGGACTTCTTATCTAGTTTCTATTTAGTATAGCTTAGTTATGGCTCTCTTCTTTTCCAGTGAGTTTAAGTATGCACTGCCTAAACCAGTGCTTTAATCCACTAGGCTATTGTCCTGTGAGGCCTAGACAAGGAGGTTTATGGCCATATCACATTGAAATACCGGTTCTTGTATGACCATCTGATCACCAAAGTTAAGCAATGTCAAGCCTGGTCAGTATTAAATGGGTGACCACTTGGAAATACCAGATGCTGTAAGCTTGGATATGCAGGTATTAAAATGGATAAAAGCTCAGAATTGGAAATCAGTGATCCAAATTCCAATTGGATTTGTTATATTCATTTACACAGAAATACCTTTGGAAAAGGTATGAATTCACCTCTTCTCTCCCTCAGCAATGGATTAATTAGTAGATCAGTAAAAATCATTATGATCTCCCTGAAATTTTTACAATGTAAAAATATTTTCTGTCTTTAACCTTCAAAAGGTTGATAAACTGTAAAAATAAATCAATCTAACCATCTTAGATAAGAAATAACTAGATATAGTCAGAAAAATGAGAACAAGTCACACCTGTATATTTAATAAAGGATTTAGTTCAAAATTTCTTGAGAGTTCCCAGATTAACAGATACCTGATGAATGCCAGAGGGCACAGCAGCCAAAACAATTTAGGAGTAGATAGTTCACCTATTGTCCAGTTCACACTCCTCCCCAGTCTTTTGAATAGGAGTAGAGATTTATCTATATTTTCTTGTTTATATACTTCTAATGTCTCTGCTTAAACCCTGACATTTTATTTAATATTTATCATTTATTTATTTTTTCTCAGTAGGAATTGATATATTTGCCTATCATACAGTTCACACACCACCCCAGTCTTTTGAACAGGAGTAGAGGTTTATCCCTTGTTTTCTGTTTAGGATTGGTTTTCTGATTCCTTATAAAGTTTCCTCATTCTCTTTCACTCCCAGTAATCTCTTACATCTTAGTACTATTATCACCTTGCTTGGAATTAATTGATTAAAAAAAAACCCAAAAAACAGCAAATGTGAGGACAATACTCCAAATCTAATTGATGCAAACTCATCATCTCAGAATTCACACAGACAGCTTGCCATCAATACTATTTGCATTCAGACTATTGTCCTCATTTTTGTGTTGTTATCATAACCTTTGAACCATTGGTCTTCTTTAGATGTTTGGTAACCTTCAGAGAATTTCAAACTGAGCCCTGTATTTAATCTACAGAAATAGATGGTTCTGATTCCACAATCTATGTTTAAGGATATTTCAGCAGTTCTGCTTAGTTATTGCTATAAGGAAGCATGGTAGAGTATTAGGTAGCGGCTCGGATTGAGAAATCAGAGAGTCAAGTTCAAATTCCAGTCAAATCCATTACATTCATTTATGTGCTAATACCCATGGGAAAGGCATGAATCCTCTTCTTCTCTCCACCAGCTATAGGTAAATAGCAGGACAGACCGGGGATAGCAACTGGTCTACCACAGAAAGTAATGGCAACCTACTGCAGGAAAAAAATCTGCCTCATCAGTTATATATCAAAAGATACATGATCACCTCAGTGTGTATCACACATGGCACATAACTGAGTAATTGCTTGACCTATTTCCATAGAGTTTGCACTACCTGGCCCAACGATTAAAATCACAATTATCCTTAGACATGGACAGCAGAATGAAAAGAATCCACATCTGTAGACTAAATAAGAGGTTCAGTTTAAAATTCCCTGAAAGTTGCCTGGATTGACAAGCATCTGAATTAAGCTTGAGGACACAACAGCCAAAACACTGTGACAATAACAACAAAGATGAGGACAATAGTCCAAATGAAAATAATGTAAATAAGGATAACTTCTTTTCCTAGAAATTCAGACAGAAACTTCTTGGCATGTTTAACTTTTTTTTTCTCAGAACAAATGTTTACATATTTTTTTCCATTAGTTGCATTAGTTATTATTGTTATGTTTTACTTATAAAAAAGTAATCTGTTGTATCCTTAAAAAGAAGGTTACAAACAGACAAAGGTGGTACTTGAGTGAAAGGAACAGCAACAATGGCAGAGATGAAAGAAGAGAGGTTTATTATAAAAGATAATACACTACTGAAAGACAGTACAGGGAATTGGTTAGCAGGCTAGTAATTCCCAAAGCAAGGATATCTACCAACCACTCCACACAGTCAGATGTGGCACAAGGCTGAATTTAATGTTGGATATCCAAGCCTGTAGGCTCGTCCAAAAATTCCCCATATAAAACAGGGTCAAGTAGCTGTTTCCTAAGACAAAACTCTGCCCTTCAACATAGCCTCATCTGGGGACCCTCTCTGCCCGGAGGCAGAAAGTTTGACCAGCACAGCTGGAGACAAATTTCCAACTCTAGACTAACTCCTGAAGCAAGTCTGCCAAGTATATATTGTGTTTACTATATATGTCTATTGATATAGTCAGTCCACATAGGTGATAGGGAGTGAGGGACATTTCCATTACAACACCTGCCCCAGAGATAATTTTCCCATGAAATTTTGCTCAATTATAATCAAAAGTGACCCATCCCGACATATAGTGGTGGTGGATGGAGGGATTTTAGAATCATCCAGAATCAGCATATAAACATGAAATAACTGTATGAATCTGACAGGATGTATCAGATTGATCTTTCTCTCAGTATTTTCTCTCTCTCTCTCTCTTCATTTTTTTTTTCAGTTTTTTAACAAAGCAAAAATCTGCATGACCCTCACAAGTCTGGCCAAAGCAGCTACTAAGTCAAATAGATAATGAACTTGTCAGGAATGCAACTGCTTTCCTTATTTTGTGAAAGATGAAAAATCATTCTACACTCCATACACACACACACACACATACATATGTGAGTGTACGTATATACATCAATGATTTATTTTTTCAGCAAACACATGTTATTCACTGCATACCATCAGGACCATCAATAATAGTTCTAATGAGCTAGTGACCCCCATCTGAAAAAATTTGGCAGTGGGGATAATGGGGAGCCTGGCAAGGGTGAAGTGAGATGGGAGATGAGCAAGTTGTTGGGAATAACTAATTATAGAGCAAAAGAGAAAATGAGAAAAATAAGCAGAAGAACTGAAGTTGAATTAGAACAAATCTCAGGATTTCTCATTTTCTGTAGCCAAGTCAAAAAGTCAAATGGCTGATGGAAGAACCAGAAACGGGAAAATTATGATAAAGCCAGTAGGTTTCACAGAAATTACCATTTCACTTCAAGGAGGTTGGAGATTTTTGTTTTATTACTATCTCTTTTTTTGGCATATGGATAAGTGAATGAATATTTCTACTGCATGTTAAATATACATACATATATATATATATATATATGTTTCATTAAAAATGACTGACAAGGTAGTGCAGTTAAGTATTTTATTTAATTTTTCTTGTGTTCTTATAATTTTTCTTTTCTGGACATAAATTATATCTAAATTTTCCAAATGTTCTGTATGTCTGTGCACTTTCGGCTATTCTTTTAGCCATTATGAAGGATGATTTTTTGTTTTTTACTTTATCTGAATATATGGATTTTTTTTATACATGTATCTAGAATTATACAAATGATTTATTTTCCAAACACATTCAGCACATTTTTAATGAAACTTATATAAAAAGAGGGATTTATATATATATATATATATATATATATATATATATATATATATATATATATATATACATATATATATATATATATATATATATATATATATATATATATAAAATTTTTTATTTTATTACTTTTTTAATATTATAGTACATACTCATATTTGAAATAGATGCCCCATTTTTTATTTTTACTTTAATCAGTGTGTATTATGCTTATTATCTATCTTGTGCACTGGAGAAATCTCAATAAAAAAATGTGCTCTCCAGCAAGAATTGAACCCATGTCCTTTGTAGGAGAAACTACCCTTTGATACATTATGCCTTACCGCTTGACTATAAAGTGTGTTCCAGTACATTAAGGCTCTATTTTCCGTTTTAAAAAACACATTTTTACTTTCAGTCATGCTGTTCTTACCTGCACATGCACAGCTCAGGTGCACTTGGATTGATCACACATCCACCTGTCAGGGTCAGCCACTGTCTTCTGTCTCCATAATTTTAGTTCTTTTATAATCCCCTCCCCATAATAATTTCTTTAGCAGATTCTTTCACACTCAGTAACTCTTTTTTACTTAGTGCCTTGCTTAGAGTGAAATGAATACAAAAGAAACATTAAAAGTAATAACATGATGAACATTAGATTTTATCTTTTGTGATTGAATGAAATTAAATATAAATATAATTTTTGTATTTCTTTCTTTTTTTTTTCTGAAGCTTTTCACCCCAAGCAAGTGGTGAGTGTCACTAGCACGAAAGGGGTTACAGAGAGTGGGAGCAAGTGTAAAGAGGCGTGATAGAGGAAAGGATGAAGCGAAGGACAAGGAATAGATCAAGGCATCTGGAGATGTCAATCGACATTGCATTTCAATAGGTGAAGATTATATCTATCAGGGAAGCAAATAAGAAGAAGGGAGTTCCACAGACAGAAAGTGCAAGACATGAAGCTGTTGGAGTAGAAGAGATGGCTACATTTAACTGCTTCGATAAAAATGAGCTAAAATACTCTGTCTCAGGTCTCATATTATAATCATTAACATTGTACACATTAGCCATTTTGTGAGATATCTCATAGCATCAATCAAAGAGATTATGATTCAATAAAACACTTCTGATCCACTTATTATACATCTACCATGTATATTAAGTACTACAGTCTAATTAAAAGGAAGTTAGATTACTACAGGATTCTTTTTAAAATAATACAACAAAAAATTATTTTGATATCTTATAATTAAAATTTATTTTTAGAATTGAATGAATTACAATTTGAAATTAAATTTTTTTCTAAGAATTTTCCATGAAAAAGTGGTGTTGGAATAAGAGTTGGGTGTGTTGGAATTTTTTGGAAATACCAATAAATAGTGTGAAGTACTATTATTTCAGACCCAAGAGTACATTCTTTCTTAAAGCCATAAAAACAAATATATATTTTTACACCTTAATTATTTATTCGAGTCACTATTTCACACTTGTTTCCTGAAGGACAGAAAGATTAACTGAGTCAAACAAAGGTAAAGCAACAAATATTCTGGTAAACATTCATCAACTTCAAAATTTTCTCATGCACTGCTTGTGGGAACCATGTGATCAACTTTGGTCTGGCAC